TAAGGATTCGAGAGTACCTCCCTCTCCTCGCGACACTCTGTGACCACCGCAAACGCTTCCTTTCATCTTGCACGAAAATAAGTCCGAGAAGGAAGACCGTCTCCCATGGGAAATGTAGTCATCTGCGCCGAGAAATTCCGAGATACCCGAGGGTAGTTTTCTACGGTATTCGCGGATCTCCGAAGAGATGTGTGTGTGTGTGTGTGTCGTTGTATTTGAAGATAAAAGCGCTATGACGCACAGATTGCTCTCCGCAAGAGATGTATATTAATCCTCGAATATTCGTGAATTTACATTATCGGAGTAAAACTATATAATTCTTCGGAAAGAATAAATCAGAAAAAGGATATGAGAAAATTATCGAAATAATATTAATGGATATATAAAAAGAGATTTTATCCGACACACATTTGTCTTTGAAATGCGAAGAAGAATATTGCATATATCGAATGTTCGGATATTCGAATTCGCAAATAGAGAGCCGCATAAAGAAAAACGATACGCTACTTAAATGCTGCAATAACGGAAAAAAAATTCTCTCTTGACAACATTCTATTTTTCTTTCATAAAACCTCAAAATACCAGCTTTTATTTATTTGGCTTGGAGGGAATGATACTTTGTATCTTACATTATATTGATGTAAATATATTCGCTTGAAATATTTACAATTTATGGATCTATAGCGACGAAGATGAATTAAAAATATGAGGAAAAAATTCTCTCTTAATCAACATTTTATTTTTCTTTCACGAAACCTCGAAATATCTAGCTCCAATATATAGCTTTTGTCTAACGAGAAGGAGAATCCGCGAGCGGTCACCCGGCAAACGAGGGAACGGCCGAAACTGACGATTATTAGCGAGCGATGCGGTCGGTTCCCAGGTCGCTGATCGATAAACGCGCGTTGTTATTACTACTGTTTACTAATTAGTCGGCGCGCTATTATAATTGGTAATTGTAGGTACTTGTGAAAACCGCGGCGAACGCGTCGACGACATCGTAATGCGCGTCATCTATCTACTCGCCAATCGTTTTATCGATATCGAATATCACATTGATTTTAAATTACATCACGTCGAAACAGAAACGTTCGCGTCCACATGTATACGTACACGCGATGTCATCCCTTCGATGAAAATTTTAAAAAGTTATAAAATCGAAAAAATTGGCCAGGAGTAAATATTTTTTTAAATTCTCAGTCAAGCGAAAAAATTGGCCAGGAGTAAATATTTTTCTAAATTCTCAAAGTCAAGCGAAATTTGACGTGATGAAAAAATTGAGTCGAATTTTTAAATCGATCTTCCATCTCAAAGGTACATATGTAAAAAATTTTTGTGTAAATTTACAACTATTATAGTGGGTAATATTGAGACCAACTATTAAAGGTGTATATTTACATACATTAGTAAATTTACATTTCATAGATAAAATTATTATCTTAAATAAGTAAGCATCTTGTACTAATAAATTTAAATTAGAAGCAGATTTCTAGAAATGTTTATGTAATAATACATTTTGTATATGTATTTATACAATTTCACATATTAAATTTAATTTAAAATTACATACATAATTAGTGTAACAATTACGCTATTTATAACGAAAATATATAAATTCATGTACTTTTACAAAAATTAGTTATTTTACTCTTTATTGTGTAAATATTCGTTTATTAAGTGTAATTTTTAAATTTTATATGTAAATGTTACAAAAAATTGTACATTTACATAAAATCCAAAAATTACACTTTTCACTTTGTAATTTCTCATCAAATATAAACGAATATTTATACAATAAAGAGTAAAAAAAACTAATTTTTGTAAAAGTACATGATTTATATATTTCCGTTATAAATAACGTAATTGTTACACTGATTTTTATGTGTAATTTTACATACTTTTTTTTACAGTGTTTTTACAAGAAAGCAATTGAATCGTTACATAAATACTTATCAAACTTATCTTACTCTTGATTCATTTCTATAACGCAGAGTGGCTAAGTAATTTTTCAAAAATGACGGAGAAAAGGCTTTTCGCAGCGCGAAACAGAATAAAGTTTGGTTGGTTTTGTTTCGCCGGAAGAGCTATGTGCTCGGAGAGAAATCGTTGCAATCGTATTCGAGAAATATACAAGTCGGTCTCGCGCGTGCATGCACAGCCGGATAAAGAATAGACTTCGTTTCTCCGTCGACCGTCGCCGAACAGATCCGATATAACGATAGCGACAAGTTAAAGAGGATGCCGAAAGGATATCGGGGTCGCGCCGTCGATTGAGCACGAAGGTTACGAGAGTTCAGGCAGCCCCGACCCGGAAAACTGATTCTCGCCGCGTATCTGCACTTTGCTCGAGTTGGAGAAGTGGACCTCCCTCATAGATTTTTCTTGCAAATGGATTTTCTTCGGGCATGTGGAAGCGCGAGGATCGATGCGGGACGCGGATAAGGATCGGAACGCGACGCGAGAAAGATAGAAAGTGCGAAAACAGATTTGGCGTTATTGAAACAAAACTTTTCTCTTGAAAATTTATCTTCTCGTAAGACACTTAATTCACTATCTCGTATGTAAGCTACGTGGCAAATATATAGGATGGCGCCGAGAGCTCAATCTTAATCAGAAAATTCTTTAGCACAATTTGACGTCTTTATTTCACTAAGACTAGTCCTAAAAATAGATTTGCAGGGAAGAAGCAAATTTGTTTAAACTGATTCGAACAAAAAATTATTTCCATAATTCGTCTAATCTCATAGAGAGCTGTTTTACTTATCAATGCACAATCTCTGAAACGCAGCCATATCTCGTCATACCATCCCGCCGCGTCGGTCCATTTGAAGTAAGATAGCCATCAATCCAAGCGAGACCTTCGGGAACGCGTCGAATCGATATCACCCGATCCCGCGTTGCGTTCATCGTGAAAGGCAAAGTGGATATGCAAGCTCGGTTGCCTCGTATCTCCATTCATCTGCATACGAGCCAAAGTCCTCCGCGAAGGCCAATAGAACAACGTCCTCAGAATACCCGACTCTCGGAACTTTCATTTCCTTTGATATCGAAATTATTGTGTTCCGATGTTCTTTATGTGTGTGATACGAAATATCATAAGAGATCTCTAAAAAGTCTTTGCATCTTTAATTGTTGGCAAGTTCAAATCTTATAATATTCTTTGAATCCTATATTTTAGCATATTATACCCAACTTATCTATTTTAGGATTTTAGAGAGTTTCTCCAATATTTTAAAAATCGAGTATCACGTCCAGCCGTTTTTAATACGCGAATCATAGGATTTTTGTATTCGAATAATTAATTTCCCGATAGCATATAATTTTAAAATAGTGTATTTTTAAAGTTCAACTAGATCCTAAAATTGTTTTTTTCTTCGATTTCTTAAATTTAAAAATTAAGTACCGTAGGCAGATCCATGTCTACGAACGCGATACGAAAGATTCTCTCAGGAAATTTCACAATACTGCTCCTTTGACACCGAAGTTACCCTATATCCTTGAACCTTCCTGCACAACGGAGGATGCTATCCAAGCTCACCCCTTTCTGTACCTTTCCACATCCCTTGTCCTTTCTCGGCAAGGGTCAAAGGCGAGCCAAGGGTTAACGTACTCTGTGCATCAGGAGCATCCCTTCCAATCGATGCATGGACGGTAACCTTTACTAAATCCTTGCCTGTGCATCGTCACTATCCTTTGAATCCGGGATTGTTCTATGATTAACCGAAAGAGAGAGAGAGGGGGGGAAGAGAGGGGAAGGGGGAGAGAGAGAGAGAGAGAAATGCGGAGGCAATCTACGTCTGGCTTTGTCCGAACATTATCCCCGTGGATCTGTACTGTGAATGTGCTACGTCACGATACTCGTGACAATGGATTGTAACGCGGGGATTGTTCGCGAGGACATGACGTGTAACGAGGACCGATAATGTCGTCACGAATATAATAGAAATAGGTAACTTTGATGTGGACTAGAGAGATAAGCGGATAATATTAACATAACTGCGTAAACTTTCGTAAGCTTCAAAAGCATAAATCATTCGTCATCTACAATTGGATTTTACTTTTAATTCCCCCTCTGGAATATTGATCTTAATTTTATTTTAAAAAAATTTTTTTTAGAAAGGCATTACCGTTAAATTTTGACAAATAAATTTCATCCATCATCGAACGAAAGATTAAAAATTGTCGCTTGGAATGTTAACTTTCAATCGTGTCGCTGGGCGAGAAAAAAGGCCGTCGACGGAATCCGATTAATCGATATTCGTCCACGTTAAAATGCGGAAACGATTGCCGTGCGCTCTCGGCCGAATTTTTTTCACATCTCTGTGGAACGCGTGGCACGCTCGACGCCGCCACAAAGACAGTGTAATCGATATTGCGGATTTTTTGAGAGCCGAAGAAAAGAAACGAAAGAAAAATTGCACGTCGATTTGCTTCGGGATTTTAAATATTTCAAGATCACGACGGGCGAAAATTTATGCAAATACGGAACGCGCGATCATCGATATATGTGCAAGTCGTTAAATTATTCCACTAGGAACCTGATAACTATAACTATAACTATAATAACTTCCGTCATCTTTTCGATTTTAAAAAACGAAGATTAAAATAAATACACAAGATACGCGTCTTCAATCACGTCATTATCGTGAAAATGATAAAAAATATGTCATTAAGATGTACGATCTGTATGATCTAGGACATTCAGTCGAATCCATAAATCCAGGTTTAATTTTTTTAATTCATAAAGTCCATAAAATTCATTCAAGCATCAATATCTTTTATGTATATTAAATCATTGTGTGTGTGCATGCAATTTTTACATCTTTATTTATAATTAAAATCAAAAATTAAAAATTATTAATTATTAAGTAGTGTCAACATCTTTGAATTTTGAAAGTGAATAAATATTTAAATTGCGAGATATACATGAGATTGCGCTTCGAAGAAAAAGAGATTCATTTATATTTTAAAATACTATTTTATTCATTCTCATATAAATGATACAAAATAAAATATTTCGAAAATATGTTTTTACCACGCATAACAAGTTGTATGAACAAACAAGACAAACTATCAACATGCAATATTGTTATTACGTAAGGCGTTTTACATGATCCGTCTTCCTTCGTGAAGTCTTGATGAAACCGAGGAACTGCAAGGCGGCAACCGCTTGAGTAAACCGAGCTCTGTGAATTCTCTCCGTTAAGGATAAGTTACTACGTGATGAAATGCGAGATAATACGTGCGAATTATTCAAACTAGGAGGCATCTAATTCGCTAAAGTTACGTCTACGGAGTAGGATTCGCGCGTTAGGAGGCATGATATGAATTTCAAAGACAACGTAGATAATACAAATCACGACGAGAGTCGATCACTTTGAACGCGAGGGTTGCTTCTCGCGCGGAAACTTTTGTAAAGGATACTGCAGCTGCGGATCCACATCGCGCTGTTCCTGAGCTTGCGGATCTATGATTGTCAGGAACGCCTAAAAGAATATATTGCATCTTAACAATAAAACTAAAAATACGCAATCAAAATGGGGAATAATTTAACATTTCGAAAATGTCAAAGTATATTTCAAACGACAAAAACTTAAAGACCGTGAGAAATACAAAGCTCTTGAATTTCTTATCAAAAAGAACTTAATAATGAAGAAAAAAAAATTTATTACGAAAAAAAGTCTTAATCTCTCAGTATGTTAAACGTCCAATAATTCTCTCGCGATCGGCGTCGTTGAACCGTTCAGCTTAGAGCACGTTTTCGCCGGCGCAATTTTCACAAGAAGCATTTTACCGGCTAACAACCGGCCGGCGATAAAGCACTCGGCACTCCTTGTGTGCGCCTTGCTTACAATGACGTGCTTGCGTGAATCGCTCGCGGCGGGGGCGGTGGCGGCGGCGATTAAAATCACGAGACGGTCCGCCGGGTTCGTGACCGTAAGTGTAACAGGGATTAACCTGTAAACATGAGCACGGGCCGGGATTGTTACCTGTAGCCAGTCGTACATATTGATCAGCTTCCTGGACTCCAAATGCAGCTTATAAATTATACTCAGGTCGGGCAGAGTGCGCGGAATGTCGTCGTCGTTTTCCAATTTGCAGCAATCGCACTGAAATATGCATTTCCAATTAACTGCATCGCGGAAAAATGAGATGAGAGTAATTTTTTTCAGCGGTCGCCGATGAATGGCTCGTATGAAGAAAGATTAAATAGCGCGACAGCCTGCAGCGAAATCGATTAATCCAAAGATCGCCTGTACTTAAAAACTGATTTGCAGTTTTTGTGTCATATTAATAACGAATTCCGCTATATCAATTCGAAAGTCCCGGAAGAAGGAACAAGAGAAAAAAAAATATGAACCGATAATATTGAAAAGTAAAAAATTTAAAGGTTGAATAATTTCAAATCACAAATCACAAGTGATTTAACAAAAATTTAAAATGCATGAAATCGATAAATGATATCGTCTCTTTTCTCGTCGTTTTTATGCTGAATATTTAATACGTGAGCATTAATCACGAGGCTTCGAACGCGTATATATTTATATAGACGTATTCATATTATTTAAAGATTCAATTTCAACTGCAAATTTTCCGCGAACGATTTTTCAGGCATACTCGATATGTTCGATGACGCGAGGAAAATAATGAAATAATGAAATCGCGCGAGCCATTCATGCCGAACTTGTCCACTCACATCCAGGTACATCTGCGGATCGTTCAATCCCGTGTGTATGGCGGCCCTCAAAGAGCCGCGGATGTGGTGCTTCGCCTGGTTTCCGTCGCTGTAACAGAATATCTCGTGAGCCGTAACGCGACTCGGCTCGACCAGGTGAACGGAAAAGACTTCTCGATCCAGATAATCGATTAAATCGTGTTGCGCCTGTTTGTAAGCGGAACGCGACTGCTGCTGACTCATTTTAAGCAATTTCTGAAAAGAGGACACGTGGTAGAATTGAACGAAAGTCACTAATCACCGCGTTCATACTTTGTTGACAATCTTCATCTCTAGGGTACGAGATATTGATTTGCATTCGATTGCGGCAGCGAAGAGAGAAAAGGAAGTTACTTTCGTAACTTTACGTAAAATGGCAAAATCTGGTTAATTTATACATAAAGTATGATAAAAAATAAACTTGTATTTTATCATGCTTGATATTATTTAATATGAAAACATTAGTTTAGCAGTAAAAAGTAATGTAACGTGACACGAAGGTATTTTTCGAGCGTAAAAAATTAAAGAATGATATTCATACATACTTCCTTTAGCTGCATACGACTAAGTTTTTCCTCCACGCTGATTATTTCAAAAGATCCTTTTGTGGCACTTAAACTAGCCTCTCGAATCGCATTGATGCGCGAGTCGAGATTGGTTTTAATTTTCTTAATCATCGGATCTTTGGAATCTTCAATGATCTTTATGATAGATTCGAGATTCGAGAGGAGTTCCTCCTTCGACAAAAATCCCAATAATTTCAAACATTCTTTATATTCGCATGATTCTGTGAGATTATTCGTATAAACCGCTTTGGTGTAAACTTCTCGCAACTAAAATGATTTTTATATTGTTTTGTGACATTTCAACTTCTGATATATGTATAATATATATGTTAAATATATATCAATACATATATATCATATTTCGTCTTAAATTGATAAAGCATTATACCTGTTTACCCATTGGTGCGCCTGGTAATGGAGCAACTAAGCAGTGCAAACACCTTAAAATGATTAAAAATTGATTCATAAATTTGTGAAATTTAATTAATAACGATTCCAGTAGTTCCTACAAGAAATTGAGTTTTTAAAGGCAATAATTCAAGAGCACATGTAGTCAAAATTATACATCAATAACAATTCTATTCGGACACAAATTTCAAAAAATCCTTATTAAAAAATTATTCTTTTTATTAAATAGCTTGATGAGAATGTTAAATTAAAATTTCAAAAATATATATAAACTCAATTATATATATTAATGTATTAATTGAAAGATATTCCTTTGTTATTGATAGTATATATGATTTTTGAGATAGCCTCCTTTTAATTCTCGTAAATAATACGAACTTTAAATTCTTTGTCGCTAAGTTTATCGTTCCCATTCGTTACTTTGCTAGATGTCTTCAAATATTTTGCAATAGACGGTAAATTTTTAATGTTTGCGATGTTTTCATCTGTGAGCTCAGATATCCTTTCTTTAATGTCTTTTGGTTTACAACACAGAGAGCTTATATTATTACCGTAAAAATGCTGTATCATACATATCTAAAAAAAAAATGAAACATTTACAAGTAGTGTATTGCGAGGAATTGATTTTTTCATTTTTTGTTACCTTAAAATTTTGTAAAAAATTATCAACCGAAAAATCATAAAACAAGAAAATATCGGTCAGTAATTGAAACGCACGACCGATTAATTTGAATGGGATTTTTGAGGAGAAGACAGTGTTCTCTAGTACATCGGATAGTGCTTCGACTTGTGTTTGTGTATGAAATACCTAAAAGAGAGAGAGAGAGAGCGGATAGCAAATATAATACAAAATATGAAAATATTATAAGCGGTGTTGTGCAAGAATTTTTGCTTAACTTGCCTGCACTACTAATTTGGATGTGACGTCATATGTCAGTGATCTATGTACAATATGTAATGTTGTCGCGACACCAAATATAAGTACGAACTTCAATGTATTTCTGTATGAACTGCGAAAATTTTTTATTAGAGAATTTCTTTCACAATTGTTTATCACGTGCGTGAATTTAAATAATTTATTGATCATGCAAGTATATCTTGCATGATACATTAAAATATTATATACCATACCTTAACACCAAAATAAAATCGTGTAAAATGTTAGTGGAAAAGCTTTCGAAATCTGGTAAAATTATGATCAAAGGATCTTCAGGATCCTCATATTCGACAAACCATTCTTTTAAGGCACGCATAGTGCATTGACTTTTACGCAATTGAGAAACATCATCCTACAAATAATAATGATTTATATTTGAAAATTGAAATAAGCAAAACTTGTACGTAACTATTATTGCAAACTAACCGATTTCGATTTTTGAATAAATTGATATATAGTATCTTCGATGATATTTTTCAAATTGTTACAGTCTTTACTCCATAGCATTGCTACGTGTGACGTTATCTCGCTAAGCTTAGATATCGCTGTATCGAAAAGGGTCGTGTGATCGGGAACATTAACTCCTATAATTTTAATTTATTTGTAAATTGTATTTATCGAAATTCGCTAATGAAAAAAATACTCCTTAATAATTCGAAATAAAATTTTAGCTTAGGTAGATTATTAGACGAATTAAATGTAAAAAAGTATAATCTTTCATAAAAATTGTAGCGGGTTTAACATATGTTTTCACCTGTTAACAAAATAGCTGTAGGTATTTCATAGGATGTTGTATTTAATGGATTCGATTTTATTTTTGACACAAAAGTCTCTAAATTGGACATAACCTGTTGAAACATTTTGGCTCTGACATTCTGAAATATTAACGCATTCTGTTAGGTACTCTAGCGTCTGTTAAATTGAGATTTATAGATGAAACTAAATGCACGATATATATATATATATATATATACAGTGTATATATATATATATATATATATATATATATAGTGTACCTCTGCAGCTTGTTCAATATATTTCCAAGTTTCGCTATATGCAATATACCAAGGTTCATCAAAATATTCTGGGCATTTAACTTTTCTTTTCCTCTTGCCAATTCTGTAACTACCTTCGTAAGCAAATACACCCTAAAAAAATCGTAATTGATATTATGCTCTAATTACGTATGCAATATTTGCTCACATTAGCAAAATAACAATATTATTGTATTATTGTCTTTGTCACTTCAAAATTTCACGCACTTTTAAATTTTATCGTATATATTATAAGAATTATTATACATTAAATTGTATATAATTAAAAAAGATAATAATTTTCTTGCAAATTGACTTTCATTAATCTCCCATTGAGAGAAGTAAAATTTGAATATATAACATAATTAAATGTCAATTTATTTATAATTATTTATTGTTTTAAAATTTATTGCTTTTATAAATAGAAAATTTAATAGAAAATTAATAACAAAAATGCTTAATATAATAATTCTAGCATTTTTGCTTCCAAAATGTTGTAAATAGATTTCAAAAATATATATTAAATTGTCACAGTTGACTACACAGAATATTGTAATTATATAGTAAAAACCAAAATAAATTAACTTTATCAGTAAAATAAATTAAATATATCAGTAAAATAAATTAAATATATCAGTAAAATAAATTAAATATATCAGTAAAATAAATTAACTTTATCAACTTGATGAAATTGTTTTATCCAATTCTTATTATTGACATAATTCTAAATTTGTTCGCAAAATAAGCTTTAAAAAATATTCGAAAACGTTTTAACATCTATCGTTCTATAAATTATATTAATTATAATTAATTGCTCTCCATCTCTTTTGATATTAAAATGTTTCCCGAATTATTCTCGACATACATTACTTAATATCAGATTTATTAGTTATCGTTTAAATTAAAATAACAAGGTGATGTTGGTTTGACGTATAAAAATGAAGTATATTAAAAAAATATTTCTTTTTTGATTTTAGTATTAAAATGTATTTTATGTGCGCGCGAAGTTAATTGTTCAAATGAATCATTAACGTTTAGGAAGCAATTAAATTTTACTCATAATTTTATTTATTATAATAAATTAATAATATTTATAATAATGAAATTGCTCATACATTCCATGATTATTCTGTCATGTGTCCTCGAACCATCTGTTCCTTCTTCTGTTCTCTTGTTTATTACTCTTTCATATCATTCGTATAATACTCATTCGCGAAAACAATGGTTAATTATAATCACGCGATACGTAACATTCCGACCTTAATCGAATACAACTTTATTTATATAACAAGAGAATGCAAAAGTAACAATTATGAAATTATGATTCGCTCGACACTAGAAAATCCCATGTTTGAATTTATGCAATATTTTCTCTGTTACTAATGAGTATATACGCACGCATTTTACCAGCTCTAATTATAACATAAATGAATAGAGAGACATGTATAAGTTAAAATTAAAAAGTAAATATTCGCAAAATGTAATATCCAAAAATATATCATCATTTTGTCGATTCAAAATAAATAAAATCGCGATTTCAAATAAATACATCAATAGATAATATATACGTCCCAGCAATTGCCATTTAAATGTCAAATTTACTTGATATAATATAAATTCTAAGATATTTGATAACCCAATAATGGTTATATATATTAAACACATCGTAAAAATTTTTACAACATTCTGTTATTTAAATATGTACAATAGTACTTATTATTCGCACGAGACACGAAGGAAGCATTACAAGATACTTCGTATGTTGTCGTGTATTATCTCTCTAGACACGATCGTAACAAGTACTAAGAGATGCCAAACGTGATTATATTTCGTACTAACAGAGACTGTTAGCCTGCGCAACTAATTAACTTCCGCGATTACCGCATCTCAACTAGTCTCGTGTTAACATAATGTCGCGCAAAGAGAATTATATTCATTCCATACTAAATTAATATTTATGAACCGCGTGTCATAAATGCGTTATTTGTAGTACATTATTGATCATTGAAACACGAGTGATTCGATGAAAATCATCCTGTGATTCGGTAAAGCGATAATATATTCTTGCATTTTGCAGATCTCTTTAGTTTTACAATGAATTATTATAATGCGAGTATTACTCATTAAATAACATTGTGTAATTATTATATCATATTATATATAAATATTTTTTGTTTAAATATTAAGTATTTTAAATTTTAATATTTGTAAAATCTTGATTATATAACTTTACTTTTTAAAATAAATTATTTGCTACATCTTTTAATGATTAAACTTTTAATTATTCATTTTATAAAAATTAATATATTACATATTATATGTAAATATTTCATTAATATAAATATATATTTTAAAGCTAATGTTATTATAAATAATATTAAATTTTAATATATTAATAGCGTCGTGTAAATTCAGACATGCGATTTTACAATGCTGAATGGATTACAATTTTGTATAATTGTGATTCTTGCGTTTTATTGTATATTGCATATACAATAAAGTTATGTATCATATGTGAATAATATTAAGAGTTCTATATAAAATATAATAAATTGTTAATTTTCATATTTTGATAATTAGTGCGTGTGTGTAATGAACTATATTTTTGAGCAAATGTCATATAAATAAAGAAAAAACAGAGAAGGAGAATTATTCGAGGAAATAACGATGCAACCACAAGAATAATTTATAATTTTGTTAATTTATTATTTGTAAAATTAATTACTTATATGTTCGCAACCTTAATTTATTTTAGCAAAAATTTTGTATTAATTTAGCTTTAGTTTTGGATGTATATATATTGTGACGAAGATGACAAACATCGCAAATCGCAAATATAAACAAAATTATTGTATAAGTTGTTGATGTGTAATTTACCTTGATGTGCAATATACAAATTTTACATGTGTTAATGTTAAATACAATAATTTTTTTGTCAACTTTACACAATAAGCTATTAGATAATCAATTCCAACTTAAAAAGATATATAAAATATAATTCTTTTTAATAATATAAGTGAAAATAGTATTACACGCGTACAAAAAAGTCGCAACAAAGACATTAACATTTTTCATTAAATTTTTAAGACAAATAATGAAAATATACAAATCATTATTCATAGTAACAGTTCAGCACGTTGACTATGCATTTTGAGGTTAAGCAGGCGATAGCAACAGGTTGCATGCGTCGTATCACTTACCTTGGACACGGAAACGTTCTCCATTTTACGACCGGTGCTGTTACAAAGCTGCCGAATATATGTCTGTCTTAAATATACGCGTCTCGAATAGCGCAAATAAGAGGAACAAATCACTCACAGAGAAACACACAACGCGACCACGCGCAAACGACTGTAACGTAACCGAACGTGTTACAGTCAACTGGCATTAAGGAAAGCGGCTTGTGCCGCTAGCTGGCGCCATATGACAGCATCTGATAGAGTCTAGAGCATCTGACGTTGAACAGCTGTTCTCTGCGACATTATTCAGATGCGAATAAGATGTCATATGTGCATATGTCATAAATGCATTTCGTTTATTAAAAAATAAAACTTTGATATGTTTCCATATGATACAGATTTATATACTCTATAAAAGATAATATATACTCTAATAAAATAAATATATAAATAAATAGAAAGCTATATATGTATATAAAAGATATAAAAGCTATAATAGCTGAGAAAAAATATTATATTTTATATGCAATTTTATTTCAAAATTCGAAGAGTTACCTCATATAAGACTTTATAAACTTAGATTCGAAACATCAAAAAATTGAGTTCGAATAATTCTAAAATTTAAGGCATCTATCTAAAATAAAGATATATTTAGATATAAAGATATATTTAAATAAAGATAAATTCAAGGCATCTTTCTAAAATAGATATTTTCAACATACAATCGGAATATTATTTGAACGAATAATATTTCTTCTTTTAAATCCCCTCTAATCATACGCTTACTTAATTATATAGATATTCATCTATACAAATGTTTCTACTTTTACGTTCCTAATTTCTTTGTGATACATTTGAAAGGAATTTCTTCTTTATGAAGCACAAAAATATCCAGCTGTACAATACATGTATCGAGACCATCTATCACAGCCCGAATAAAGCAACGCGCGGTTCGCCTTCATCAGACGAAGCCGACGTGCATGTTTGAAAGTCGGATTTTGGATACGTCGAAAACGGACAGAAGAGACGAGTAGAGACGTCGCGCGCGAGAGGTGGAGGCTGCGGATAAGGGGGAATGGGGGACATAAATCGATGCGCAAGCAGCTTTGGGTTGTTCTCGTTTTGTGGTCGCCTCGTAGCACCTGTGCCTCGCATCGCCACGACGGGCGGACAGGCGGGGCTCGCGGGGAAGAAAATAAATGCGAATCGATCGGCAGCTTAATCATTCGGTCGCCTCGTTGAAAGAGCGAAAAGGCTCGGCTGCTGGGACAAAACGCTCGCGAGTCCCCAGGCTTGGAGATATTACCCTCTGAGAGGCATACGATCGTTCCCGCGACTCGATCACGTCGCATAAAGCACTCTCCGGCGTAACAAGAAAAATGCGCTCCGGCGGAGAGAGACGCGCTATAAAAATCCAGTCGGCGCGCGAATAAAGCCCCATTCGTCGATTCGTTCGATAAACCGTCGCTTCGATCGATAATGCGATCGCTGTTCGTCGACGCCTAACCAACTTTCGAACGTGCTTGGCATTTTCACGCCGACTTACGAATCTCGACGAGCTGAAAAAAATTTTGCTTCCGTATGGAATATACATGTATATCGGAGATAAATATTTAAAATATTATTATTATATAGGATAAATTATCCGTAAAATATACACATGTATTTGATGTTAAATAAATAACGCTGATTAAATACTTTGGAGAAAATATAATACAAATCTAAAAAAATTATTATTAATTACTGACCAAAGAATATTTTGCAATGTATGATAATAAAACGAAAATTTTGCTTCCGTATGGAATATACATGTATATCGGAGATAAATATTTAAAATATTATTATTATATAGGATAAATTATCCGTAAAATATACACATGTATTTGATGTTAAATAAATAACGCTGATTAAATACTTTGGAGAAAATATAATACAAATCTAAAAAAATTATTATTAATTACTGACCAAAGAATATTTTGCTATGTATGATAATAAAACGAAACAATTATCTTCTTAAATATACTTGAAAAATACTTGATTCTCCCACAAAAAATTGACACATTCGAAATAATTACGCAATTAATTCAGCTTGCATTCAAATTCGTATGCATGGTATTTCATAATATATCGACATTCTAATACATTTTATATATGCACTCTTCGTATATTCCGTCTTGTACCTAGCGGAAGAAAGATCACGCATGCAACCATTCTAGGGTGATTGACGACGCGTCACGGAAATATAAAAGCATGTAGTGTATGGCGTAGCTTGATGGGTTCTTCGAGCGCTGAGCTTCTCCAAGCTTGTACGTACACGATAAGCCAGAAGTCATTTTATGCCAAAAGAATAGCGTATCGAGAGAAATTTATCATAATAAGTTGTAGCTCGAAAAAATTTTACGAGTATGTATGAATTTTTTTCATCGTCGTAATCATTAGATTAAACTTGGCCTAAATAGTACGTTACATTATTGAGCCATACTTTTTTCAAATCAATGATTAGTCTTCTGATCAACACATTTTATATATCGCATAATTGTTATAAATGCCATCATAAATGTTACTTTTCGTATGTATATAAATTATTTTCATGTGTATATAAATGCCAATCATAAATGTTACTTTTCGTATTGCGAGAGAAATGTGCAACTTTTGCCAATATCATAATTGAGTATAATTGTACATATATATGTAGTGCGAATCATATAAATTTTCATATCGGCGAATTGTCAAAGTTTGCGTGTGAATCATCGCCGATATATTTATTCATGTTAAAGATAATTTTCTTATTTCCTCGTTTACATGCAAACATTATTTGTGCGAGCGTTAAAAATTTGAAAAAAAAAAAATAAAATAGCCAAGCAGATTTTAAAGGAAATTTAAAGAAATTTAAAGGAATAAAGGAGCTGAAAATTTAATCGCAATGGCCTCTTTGATTCGACTGTTACGACAGATGAGAAAGATGTATAATTTAAAATATAATTTCTACGGCCCGTGGATAAACGCGATGTATATTCTGTCGTAATGCAATGCAATTTTGCGAAAAGCTCGCGAATGATGAGAATTATTTCTCGCAAGAGACGTCGCGTCTGAATCGTCGTCGCGCTGCCGAGAAAACGAAATTCTATGGCGTCGACCGCTTCTTGTGTCCCGGAAACTTTTATGGGTAAACGACCGGTGGTTTACGAAACGCGGCTCAATCCCTAGCGTTCGTAATGAGCGTCATTGTTGTCGGTACTATGGACAGTCCGCTTTCTTCCTCGCGGTGATTGGACTTTTCGAGCTTGCACGGTACTCGCAGTTCACTTGTGTCGTGAGCAGGATTATTCTTAGAAACTACAATGCCGCGATATTCGATAGGAATGTACAAAAGTATTCTGATTCTTACGTTAAAACTACAGGGAGAAAAATCAGAAATTAAATCGAGATTTTATTTTTAATTTGGATTGGTTATTCGGAAGAAAATAAAAAATTTAGAATCTTGATTTATTTAATTGGCATTTATATTAAAGTGCAAATAAAATTATTTAATTGTGGATGCATATTTAATTCTATTTCTCAATCTCGAAGTCTATCTTTATAAAACATAATTCGTATATTCGGGAAATTACATTTCAATACAACATTTAAAGAAAATTATATTTAGAATTGGGTAAAAAATGTATAGATTATGTTGTAAAAACATAAAGAAAGTTTAAGTATTCAAAAATTTAAGAATTTAATCTAAAAAAATGTTTTGTCTTGCAAATTTTAATGAAACATTTAGCGTTCTATAAATTTTTATCATAACTGCATCCTTTTCGTGGTATCAAATAATAATAGTCAGGACGTTTCTGCTCTCCGCTTTTTACTATATGCTCGCATAAGAGGAAAAAACCTCAAGATTACGAGGACGTTTTCTCGGTAACGGGATAATAAAGCGACGAGCATTGTAGCTTCATTGTGGACTTTTTGAAGTTTGCTCTATCTTCAGTTTCTGTCCCATTCGCCATTTACGTTATTTTCAGCATTTTTCTTCGCGTGCTTTTTTTCTTTATTTTTCCCGCATTATTCTTTTTTACCAAGAAAAAAATCTTCTTGAAAACTTAAAAACTTTGCGAAAGAGTAAATCGCAATCTTTGCGGTTTTGTTTGGAGAGAACTAAAGCAACTCTATTCATCTGCGTATCGATGAGAAGGTTTTACCTTTTAACATCCGAAGTACATTTTATGGAGCAAAGTATTAACAAGATATTTTCTTTGTCGGTTACAGCGAACCGGCCTCTAACGATCGAAGAGCTGAGGGACTCGATATCCTCCGAACTGGAAGGCAACCCACCTCTATGGATCACTAGAACATCAGGGAAGTACGGCGTGAACGTGTACATTAATAACGCTAAGATTCTTTTGGAGCAGAGCAACTTTCAATCCAAATTAAAAGTCAACGGCGACACCATGATTCAGGTAAATGAAAAGTTTGACAGAAATTCATCATATTTTTATCTCAACATTTTACTTTATTTTGATATTATTTGTATTTATATTTGAGTATTTATAGAGAAATGTTTAATAATTATTCTTATACGCCAATCTATTATTTTTACATGAAGACAAATATTTAAAAAGGTTTGCCGAAAAAAATATTTGCGGAAGCATTATATATGATGGGGTAAATTTCATAAAAAATTTGGCACCGTAAAAACGATTTTGTACGTATAATTGAAACACACTTGTACACATAAAAATTAAGAAACAAAGTTTACTACTGTCGCGTAAAACATGCAAGCGTATGCTTGTTTGACGAGAGAAAGTCGAAAGATTTTTAGCGTCGCGTAAATCGCGAGTTTATCTTTACGAGTAAAGCTTTCATTTCCCTCGCATTCAACTACCACTTTTCTGACCGATTTCCCGGCAACAACGTCCACGTTACCTCGACCGTCCCGATGTGCCGCTGGCGGCTTTCTAACGAGCTTTTAATGAGCTTTACACGCTCGCCTTGGCCGCGGGGCCATTAGGTTGATGGATATCGCGGGCTTCGATAATGTCGAACGGCGCTTCCTGGCATTCGCATTCTCGCGAGAGTCATCAACTCGTCGGTTATCGATGGAGCTCTCACTGTTCCTTGCAAATTAATCTCGATGTTAACGCATGCGATTTATAATAATTTATAATAATCAACCGAATTGTAAGCTAGTCAAGAATTACCGTGTAGGTTGTATCCCCTCCTTCCCCTTTCCCTGTCTTGCCAAATTAATTTATGGGGACGATTATACATAAATATAATTTTTGAAAATATATAATTTCGTAGGAAACGCTAAATTTGTGCGCTGTAAAATCTACGGATTTTTACAGAATCTTGCGAAATAAATTCGCTCCTTGAAAAGATATTCGAGGTAATTCGTTGTAAGGTATAGCATTTGCGCAAATACTGCCAAGTAGTTTCGTTCATGGGGACTCTATCAAGGTGGAATCTTTTGCAAATACCCGTAAATTCGTCGTCGATAGCGTATCTCACTTTCAACGTATCCCCCCCCCCCTCTCAGCTGATTTGAGTTTTCGGTCGCGTAGGGAAAGTAGATCTCATTTCAGGTTGCCAGACGAATCCTTTAATCTATAGTTAAAGTACCATCACCTGATGAAAATCGCACGGGACTAGCCAGGGCTACGACTAATCCTTTCGACGAGCTCGTCTGCAGATCAATCTCTCTCTTGCTTCCCGGTAATATTAGGGAAACTTTTCTCATCCACTTAACCCGGAAGTTCCATTGCCTCAGCTACTTCCTGCTCGTTACCAGAGCATGAAAATATCGACTCATAAATCGCGTCTCGCGCTTCATTTTTTTAGTAAATATAAATTTAAATTCAGACTTTTCTCCATTTTTGCAAAAATTGTTATATATATATATATATGTATTAAATTAAATAAAAAATTAAACTTGCAATTCATTATTTTGAAAAAATAAAAAATTAAATAATAATAAGAAAAATACAATATACGTATCTTTATTTTTCAAGAGCTAATTGTATAGCTTGTCAGATTTAATGCAGATTCGATACAATTAAAATTATTTTATATGTTAATGTATTTATTACACACAAATATCATGGTAAAAGGATAGTTGTGGAAAGCTAAAATATTGTCTGAATTTGACGCAAAAACTAAAATTTCCATGTTGTACATTATGTGAGAATTGGTGATAATGATTGATTGTAACATTATCATTAATAATCACGATTGGGCTAATTAGCCGCTGAATGGGGGTCCGCGATCACCTAGAATAACTTACATTAATCATCCATAATTATTAATTGCACGATATTGATTCAATAATGCACGATTGATAGGAAGAGCTAGACGAAAGTGAAATATTGACAATCGATAACAGGAATGGTTAGAGTATCGAAACTTGACAAATAAATAACATTTATGTTAAAAAACTATAAAGAATACATAAATACAAACAAAGATACATTTATTGTTAATAAATAATTTTTCATACAGTTTTTTAATTGTTTCAAAATGGTTTATTTTCAGAGTTATATAATTTTATTTTTATAACTATTATTGTATGATTATTATTTGTCTTCTCTGCAGCTGTCAGTTATGAAAGAATATTTAATTTTATAAAAGTTAAAAAGTGCAATATTCAATGAATATCACATGATATAAAACTGTTATTCTCGTTATTATCATTAATTATTATTTCCAGTTGTTATACTTTTATCTTGAACTTCCAATTATTAATGTCTGATTTTATAAAAAAATGATGCGGTATTTTGGTCTCGTAGATCGGATTCGCCAAATAAAAACGTTGCAAATATATTTTATCGCGAGTGTGACTATAATAGGAGCTGCTTCCCAACAATAGAACAGGTCAGCGATCCGTTTTCAGTCGGTGCCGCGTCTCGTGAGCACATTGCATATCTATCAACTTGAGAATGGATTTATGCGCATTGTCCCCTTACGTATATCCTATAGACATACGTATTCCATTATTCGCGGCGTCTCAACGGAAGCAAAGGGTCTCGCGTACGATGGAGAAAGAGAGAAATATCCCGTCCCGATGGCGAAACTTTATCCTTTACATATCGCGATGCGCTCTTCGCTGGCGCGCGCGCGACGAGGAATCGCTCGATATCGGCATGATACGTGTCTATATGTATGTGTGTCGAATGTCTTCCCAATTTGAGCTCGACAAACTCACGATGCACTCCCCTTCTGATACCGCGTATTCTCACGCAAACATTCCACCCGTCGATAGAAACCGATAGTTTGCCGATCGCGTTGCAATTCAGCGAATGGCGCTCTCGTAACTGTCCGTTCCGCCACTTTATGATTATGGACACATCGTATTTACGATACGACGGATTAGAAATATAGCACGGGTCGATGCGCACATTTTAAGATCGGTCGTAAATAATTTATAGTTAATTTCGTTTCTCATGCATCGGGTTTAATGTTGCATCGCTGAAAACGTGAGCGACATTTTTTTTAATCCTAATTATTATTCTCGAACGATTCATTTTTATTTTTTCCGAATTATTTTTAATCCGAATTATTATTCTCGAACGATTTATTTTTATTTTTTATTTTTTTAAATGTGTTTTATTTAAATTCTATTCGGTTTATCTCCGATATTATAAGCATTTATAGCCTGTGAGAAAAGTCTAATTTTAATTCATAGTGATATTCATAGAAATTTGACTGATGCATTTTTCTCTCGCGTTGCTTTATTGCGCAGTTTCCCTAAGATATGAGTTTTATGACATCTTAGATCTTTTTCCGAGTTTCGATTTCCTGACAGATCGTGCGGGAAGTTGAAATAAAAGGGGAAAACGCGAGGAGGAGGAGACTCCCCAGAGTTATAGTCGGTTTTATTACATCAGTCTACTCGTAAGTACGAGAGAAATTCGAGAGGTTTCGATCCAATTTGGGATTTTTTATACTCGCAGATTTGTTGTCGTCCCCCGCCCTTTCCCCGGAAGATGCAATATATATTATTTCCTGTCGATCGAATGATATTTTATTTGACTTGCGAGCAACACAGAAGTCACCCCCGTCTCGGCATCAAATTTCGTTATCGAATCCTTTCTCCCTGAAATACAAAGACTATTTCATCCTATAACATCGTCTTATTTAATTCGTAAACTTGTTTGATAATTTGTCAGCAATCTGTGACAAAACAGAACACAGATTGCAACGAATTCAACTTGAATTTTAGCAAAGTTTGTCATCGCATACAGCAATAGGAAAGAGAGGCATCAAATAGCGAGAAGGCAAAAGAGAGAGAGAGATGAAGAGGGAGATGGTGTTTTTAATCTCAAAAGACGGTGGGGATTTTGATTTCATTATACGTTCCTGGAACGCAGCTACCCCCTCGAGCAAGTCCCTTGCGCTCCTGTTTTCCAACAATCTAAAGAAATTCCAGTCCGAATAACTACACCAACGCCGGTAGAATCGCCTAAAGAGTTACGGTTAATGGAGGGGAAAAATGCCGGGGTGGAATGACGGGAAGGGTTGCCGTGGGAAAAGGAGAGAAAGGAAGGGCGGGAACGCCGGGGATGCTTGAGTGCACCAGGAAGCCGGTGGTGCAAGCGGTTTGTCCGCGAAGAGGAGAATTGAAAATCAGCCACCGCGAGAGGCGCTCGGCGGAATAGTTGCAAGAAAGGGATGAAGTTTTTCGCGGATGGCGGAATGGAGTAAAGCGCGAGAGGTGGGTCGAAGCCGCGTTTCGTATCGGACTTTACGTGAAATAAAGATGGTAGTCACTTGGCTGGAAAGTTCATGTTGCCGTCAAGGGAGAAAGAATTGTACAATTGTAGAGTAGCAAAGACATAAAAATGTGTACTAAAATAACGGAGGTAATTTTGAATGCGATTAACCTTGAATATTTTTTAAGATTCGATTGAAATAACGAATGAGAAATCGTCAATTACTTAAATATTTAGAATAAAACATAAGCGCAAAATTTTTTTTATGAGAAAATTAAAATTTCTCGCTTTTCTTTCTTTAGTTTAACTTTTTTCTTAAATAATTGTATTAAAGTGAAACAAATCTGAGATATCAATGTAAATGCAATTATTTGAAATAATCCACGGCCAGAATAAAATAAGGACAAAAATAAGATTTATACCTGTTTGCAATGTTAAAAAAATTTTGATAGCAATATCCATCTCTATCTAAAAAAAGAAGGCTAAAATATTATAAAACTATAGAAAAAGAATGAAAGCAGGTCATCCATTACAAAAAATAGAATGAAAAATTCATGAAAAAATAAAAAGTTGGATAAAGAAGAAATATGAGAAAAATCATACCATACAAGAGCTAACTATATGTCCTTCTTTCTCTCTTTTCTGTTCGATTTAATGAATCTTAAGGTTAAAAAAATAGTCCAATTTCCCGTGATTTCATCGTTCGATCATTGATTCGTCGTAGATTAATGAATCTCGATTAAAGTAATCGGAGAATTTTGCGTTTTAAAAATTAACGATATTCCATTCCGCGATTCACGCTTGCTTCAATCTGTAAAAACATATATCAGCCGTCTTAATTTCTAGTTTCCATTAAGAATAACATTTGCATGTCGGAAAATTGTCGCGATTCTCATCCCGTTCGCCTTTTTACATCTCTTTGTTATAAATCTCGATGATAATTGAATGTACAGAAGTACGGAACTTTATCTCTTTCTCAAGAAACCGGAAGCTAAGGATGAAAATTAGCGCGATTTCTATACCGGCGATGACTCGAATCGCGCGGAGCTAATTCGGATTTGGAATTCCCCACTTTGCATAGAATTACCTTCGCGCTCTCTCCTTGGCTTGAATATTCATGCGGAAAGAATGCATTTGATTACTTAATAGCCGCGACTCGCCGCGCGTATAAAATTATTAACGTACGTCAACTGCAAACTTAAATGCTCTGCTGTTCCTGCCGTTCTTCGTTTTCCTCTTGCACCTTTTTGAGCGCTAATTGAAGAGCATATAGAAACGTTTTAACTAGAGAAACGAGGGGTTCATTATTTTCTAAATTTATACGAAATGTAAGTATTTCATTAAAGGACTCTTGCCAAAATTTATGACACAAGCAGCGGATGTTCAATTACACGAAAGAATTATCGAAAGAACGTTTTTAAAAGGAGAGATAATCGTGATAAAAAATTGAGAAAAAAAAACAAACTTAAAATATTCCCCGATGACATATGTCATTTGGCGATATTTTTCTATTAGAATACCTTCTATTATAATGGAGATTCGCGTCAATTTTAATCTCTGATTCAAAGGCCATATTCGCGTGGGTTTATCGTAAAGATAGATACGTGAGATTCATCGTTAACCGCGCGCAAATCGTGATTATCTCGCGGCAGGGCGTCTGGGAGGAATAAACGCGAGCGCACGAGCCGGTGTGCATCGAGATGATAACTCGTACCCCTGTGTACCATACACGACCGCGAATATTAGTAGCCAGGCTGATTAAGAAGGAACCCGCTCTCTCGGAGAGGTCGCGAATGGTCCGACCCAACTATCGGTAAAGTTTAATTAGCGTTAACTTTACGATACACCCGCGGTAAGCCAACCGCGTCGTCGCGGTCTCGCTGCTCGAGCGAAATTGAGAAGCGACAAAGAGAGAAGCTCGAGACGAAATCAACATGATCGAACGATAGTTCGCGGAGGTATCAGTGAGACGTCGCGAGCCGTCAGATTTTGATTTTTAATCCTTATTTCTCGAGATTTTATTGCAATCTTAAAACGCTATCGGGGGGGGGTCTTGAAATTTCCACGTCTTCCTTATACATATTTAGTTGTTACGCGGGAAATCAGACGTATAGGGTAATCGCGTGAAAAATTAAGGATTCGTCCTGCCGCGTTCGATCCCCTTTTCCGGATGACTCGCGACCACGAGGAGCAAGATAAATGGCCGTCCTCGCTCGTCTCGTCTTATCCCGTAAGGAACGCAAACTTCGCTCTCCTCTCTCATTTCTCCGTGAGTAAAACGATTCATTTCTAGCCAACCACCACTATCACCACCTCCCCTCTCCCCGTTCCGCTGTCCTCATCTATCGTTGTCGTTTTGTCTTTCTCCGTTGGATAAATGGGACGCGTTCCTTCTCTCTTTTTCTCCTCTTATCATACAGTCTTCCACATTGTCCGCGCGCTCTCTCTTTCTCTTTCTTTTTTTCTTCCTATCCTCTCGGAGAGCTCATAGGCGCCAACTTTCCGTACGACCAGCTTTTTTTCTCCTCATCTTTACAGACACCATGATGGATGTTTCGTATTAAAACTGTCGGGGCGACCACGATGGATCGCGCGGATATTTAATTATACGCTCTACAAACGCTCGTCACATTAGAGCTGTAAGTTTTTTTTCTGGTTGTATGAAAATTTTAAATGTTTGTTTTAAAAGCACTTACGAGATTCTAAAATATATAGTTTATTCCCAACTCTTGTAATGTCGTATGTCAGGCAGGTATTTGTAACGTTTTAATAATAATTAAGAAAATGACGCTAGGAATGAAATTATTACGTTAATTCAATTAGTATTGCTGTCGTCTATCGACATAGTTTTTCAGTATTTCAATAAGTTGCTTTGTTTTCCCGTCCTTTGTTAAAATTAATCGTATTTATTAAAAATAGTGGAACATATATTGTAATATCAAAACGGTGAAGATTATGGATATGTTAATAATAAGTAGAATCATGTTAAGTGTACGTATGTTTTTATTAACACGAAGCGGCAAAAATATATTTGGAATGATATTCCGAGGGCGAAATCTCTCGGGAGGCTGCAACTTTGGCGCTTATGTTTCCCAACGCCCTTGTTCTGCCCTACATTTTCCTTTTCTTTCCCAGACGGAGGAAGGCAAACAGCTATAGAAACGGGATATCCCTCGCGAGATAAGAGAGTCAGGACGAGATCGCGGGAGAGAGCGAATAAATAGCGGCGGCAACGTTTTAGTCACGAACTTTTTCCCTTTCGGGACAGTAAACGATGGCGTTTCCCGTGTTCCCGACGGAGATGCACAAAGAGGGTAACAGTTTCTACATCTTCTCGCTTTCCCGCGACTCGACACCCGTGAAATAGCTTATACAAAGTGCGCGAAAAAGAACCGCATCTTCCTTTCGATCGTGAAATTTTATAAAAAAAGAATTATTTTCCGTATTTTTATTTCCTCCACAAAAATGTAATGTAAAAATGTGCACGAGACATGACAAACGCTTGCCGTTTTCTACAAGCTTCTAATTAAACAATTGTTTTATTTATCGCGATAAATAAAGCCGAAGAAATTCTCCTGTTCGTGATTGCAACTAAAGAAAAACCTGTCTTGCGAAAGAGTATTTCATGGTGCGTTACCTTTCTAAACACACATACATACACACATGCGAACACGCAGACTCATATACACACAAATATAAATATGTTTTTCTCTCTTTCATGAGGTTTCTATTAAAGCGCGCGCGCGCGTCAGATGTTTCTGACAGACCCGATATAACTCGCGCTCGTCGCCGCAGGATAAATACTCGTTACGTGCACTCCTGTTCTCTCTTTCTTTCTTTTTCTCTCTCGCTCCATCTCCGCATCCTCCGCTCTTTGGAGGGTTTATCTTCGTGTCTCTCTTCGTGTCCTCATTTCCACAGAGTTCGCGTCACGAGCTTGACGTCGGTTTGTCTCACTTCGTCTTCTCCGCCGCGGCCGGATTTATGGATCCGTTCGACTTGGCGAGATTAACGTAGTCTTTGCACGCAAGTTAGAGACTCTCAAAATTTCAGCGAAACTAACTCTAAACCTTAATCTCGGAATTTCTAGAGTTCAATATCCCTACCTACATCCGCTAATTGTTTTAGTCTTCGGAACAAAAAAACTTTATTAAGTATCCTCATTTCTCAATTTTTCAATTTTATCTTTAAAATCGTGCTTTAATATTCTTATATATGAGCTTTGAATTATCATTATTTAAAAATCATTGTCAATTTAATTTAAATAAACGCATTCTTTTTTTTATTCTCAAATAATTGATTCTATTCAAAAAATGTTTTTCCCATCAAAATATATAATAATTGAAAGAAGTAAAAAAATAAATTATACAGGGTATCCCAGTTATTTTCCGTCATCTTTCAAAGATTCCTGGGATCATTTGAAGACGATTTTTCCTCAACGAAAATGTCAATGAAGGCCATCATTTTTTGCATGTTCCCGATTTTTGTCATCATATATCTTTGCAATTAATTCTTAAATTAAAACTCAACTAAAGTAAACTCTACTTAAAATTAATCAAAGAATGTGGTTTTGTTAATATTTTATTTCTACAAAGCTTAGTTTACGAAAAATCCCTTATTTCCAATAAATTATTAGTGCCTCGACATTTTCGTTGAGGAAAAATCGTCTTCAGATGATCCCAAGAATCTGTCTTTGAAAGATGACGGAAGATAACTGGGACATCCTGTATATATGTTATAATATTTAATATTAATTATATAAATAAATATAAATGAAATTTTATAAAATTATAACATACATACATACTTTTTCTAAAAGAGCTGTACATTTGAGGAATTATAATATTTCCGTTATCAATAAACTGTTATACTTTTTATATTTCAGGTGCTGCATATTATAAACGAGGTGCTGGAGCCAGTACGATCCAACTCGCCGGAGACGCCGATTTACAACCCGAACGCGTTTCAGTTTCTGAACCAGAGCGAAAATCTCAATTTGGGCGATCATCGTGTACGGTAAGTAAACTATATAAATCAGCGCTGAATTGATCTTATTTATATAATGCGAACGAGAGATATTTAAGGGAGAGCAAGAATATCTAATGATTATAAAAAAGTAAGGAAAATGTTTCTTGCGCTTGAAAAAGGAGCACTTTTTACGCTCATGACTCTCAGATTGTTACTTCAGCTTTAAATATACATCGCGTTCTAAAAACGAAAATATTTTTTATCGCATAGATTCTTTAACTATTATTAAATTCTTCAGTTTGAAACGTTTTAAATTATTTATCGTGACACTAAGAAAAACTAAATATCGTGAATATTTGACTCTGCGTTCAATAATAATGTGTCATAAAAAAATCCATTGTTTTTAAACTAAAATGTGTAATTTAAATATCTTAATGTTATCCTCTCGAACAGAGTTCTACGTATAAAGATATTATTACACCGGTTCATCAATTAATGCAGTTCCTCTGATTTGAATATAAATACAAAAACTTGCGCGGGGAATCATTTAAATAACATAAATACGCGAACTTTTCTCATTTGTCTTATTATATCATCGGCGTGTCTCGTGCTACTATGTCGTCATAATTAACCTTTTTTTTTTTTAGTACGTTCCGACAACGGATCGTCATCGAAAAGAAGGAGTCTGTCTTCAAAGCCGAGGGTCGTTTTACCTTCTTCATCCCCGTTGATGAAGGTTTCAAGGTAAGCGGCTTAGCGACCTTCGTAAATTGATCATCCGGGGGATGATTTTAATATCTTTTCCTGCGACCGACTTTGAAAGATTCGAGGATAATGGCAGTTGTTGCGCCTCGTTCAAAGTGGAAAAAGCGCGTATTTAAAGTTCATATCGCGTGTTTAAGTTATAATATTGTGAAAAAAAATATCTGCAAAATGTATTGACATTGAATAATTCATAACTTACTTAAAGACTGGCGTAAAAAGCAGGAAGAGAGAGAATTTTAATTTAAAATGTGATCACGGAGATGTGTTTAAGATTGAAAAACTTGCGTGAGATATATCGATATATCTCTTTATCCTAGATATTACGGGATTTATGCGCACATTTAGACCGTCCTACACGGGAAACACCGTGTTACAGTAGCATTACGCGATGTGACATTTTACCAGCGGGTGTAAATTATTCCGTGCAGATACGTGCATGTGGCACTTAGACGTTTCAAATGTCGCGTCACAAGTACGACATTCTAACGTCACGCGTAAATTTATCTTAACGTTGACGAAGTGCACGATATCTCGAGCACGCGATATCTTTTACACCCTTGTTACGTTAGAAATTCAGAAAATTACCGTGTAATCGCAATTATGCCAACGTACACATTTTACGAATAATATATCAACGTATGTATCTTTTTTGTGTAAAAAATGATCTTAAAAATTGTCCTTAAATGTAACGTTTGTTTATTTGGTGAAAAAAGTTTTAATCGTATCTTATTGTTTGTTTTTTCGGACAATTTCTAAGATTGAAAAATTAAAAAATTGATAGGAAAACAAATATAAACTCACTGAATATTGTGAAGAAACGGCTATTGATCCATTATGTAATCCATTAATCCGTTAAAACAATCCCTCGATGTTTATCGATGCTTCTCAATCCACTCGCAACGCGTTCGCACTTTTCAAACACACTCGCGATAAATACGCGTATTCGTAAACAAAATTTTTCCGATAGATGCGAAATCGATGAAACATGATTGATATTGATAAAGGGATTGAATTAAAACGGTAAAAAAATCGTCCTTGGATTTCACTCGGTCACACTCGCGGAAAGACAATACGTATTCCCGAATAACCTTTTTAATGAAACGCGATTGGCATCGTTTCTGAACTTTAAGAAATGCGTTTGATCGCTTTCGAGAGCGTCTCGCGATCGATTAATTGATGCATTTAAAACAGAACGCCCGTAAATATTTTCGATTCTCACGCGAAAGGTACATATTTATTCGCGACTTTAAAAAAAAATCGGGACACGATTTTGTCTTTATTTCACATTTCACAATTTTTTTTTCATTCGTTCGATCGATTAAATTGTCGCCTTTTAGGCAAATTCGGTCACTCCCGCACTATATCACACTATTAAAGATTATTATGTATTATGTACATGTATTAAAGATTACTATATATAAAATATCTAAATATTATGACATGATATGTAAACTGATGAAATAATAATACATGTTCTGAAAAATGATAATATATAATAATTGAATTTTAATTATTTAAAATGATCAAGTTATTTTTTTAAATAACTTTATGTGTAGCAATCTTTTTAGTACATACTTTAGTTTGTTGTTAAATACTTTGGTATTTTCGAGACGCGCGCGTGATAACGCGTGCTCGGTCGATGTGAAATTCCGGGAAGCGTCGACGATCCCCGGCTATTACAGTTGAAATGAAATTATAAGAATATCGTAATCTCAAAACGTAATCATCTCGATATTAATTCAAAACGATATTTTCTGAATAGACTATTCGACAAAAAAAAGACGCGGAATCGAAATATCGTTCGTTAATGCTTGGACATTTTCGACTTGCTTCGATCGATATGAATTTCGAGAAGCGCGAAATCAACAGTCATGGCAGACACGAATATCGGTTACTAAAATTACAACGGAATTATGCGTATATCATAGCGTGAAAGAGAGAGATATCAGTCACGGCAATTTTTCCGAGTTTCTCGCGATACTCCTCGACGTCCCGAATATGGGACACTCGCGACGTTTGGAGGAAATATTCCGAGAACGTTTGAAAAAATGGACTCTCCCGAATATCGGCGAAGCCGAGACCGCAGTCGGTCGGGCTAATTAACGCACCGAAATGATCGCTCGCCGTTGGATTTTGGCGCTCGTTTGTACGCGAAATTCGCCCGGAATGGAATTCGACGCGGAATCGAACTATCGCTCGTTAGATTCTTCGATATTTGCAGCGCTCGACCGATGTGAATTCCGAGAAGACGCGAGGGTCGCAATCATGGCGGACGCGAGTACCGACAACTAGAGTTAAAATTATACGCGTATCGTAGCTAAAAAAGCGAGATCGTTTGTTCACGATTGTCTGAATCCTCACGAGTTCTCCGATTTTGTCGATATATTTCGAATATATAATATCCGGACGAGCGAATAAACCGAGATGCGAACGGATAATTTTTCTCCTACAAACGTACGAAAAAATGGACCGTTCCGGCGAAACGGAAAGCAAGGATTATAGCGGTTATTAATATTGAGAAACACTCAAGACTCGCACTTGGTCAAATAAAACACACTGAAATGATCGTTTATCGTTGAACTTGGCACTCCCGACACTCGTTTGGACTTCCGGCCGGAAGCAAAGACGCGAAATTACGAACCGATCGCAGCCCGACTACGCTCCGGTGACGCTCGGCCCGAACTGACCGGTCGCGGAAATGCAGTCACGTGATCGCGCGAGTGAACTCGCTACTTAGAGAGTGCGCTTCAATCTTGATTGCAAGCGTCTTCGCGACGTTTGATCGACCAATCAGGACAAAGAGATTTTTATTCGCGATTGGTCAGTCGCGAGCGTCGAGTCGAATGATTTTTTTGTCGATTATTTTTTTGATGATCGACTTTCTATCTAAATAAATTTATCTATGCATATGTAAGTCTCCATAGCGTATTTTCTTGAAGCGGACGAGTTTCTTTTTAAGCATCTGCGTCAGATACGGTTATCCAATTTACATATCAGGTATATTTATTAAGTATTTAATATCGTATTTAATATCATAATTAATATTATCATAATATTGTTTTAGAACATTTTTCATCCATTTTAGATATAATTTATACGAAAAACCTATAACGAAAATTCTAGACATACTATTTTTTCATTATTATTGTTTTACATTTCTTTAATATTCGATATCGATTGAAACAATTACTTAGTTATATCATCACAAATGCCATAAAATTTGTTTTTTTCAACAATGTTTTTCCAATTGCAGTATACAATTTTACAACGCGTTAGAATTTTAAATTCCTTTTTTTTAAATATAGTTTCAAGGAACGTCCATTAATCCCCGGCGGAAATAAAAAATAATTAAAAATTATGAATTTCGTTGTGTATGAATCCGCGCACATTCCACCATCTCCTTTCCCTCCCTCGGATTTTATTATACTCGCAGCGTTACATTTTGGCGCGGAATTCCGCTTTTTTTCCAATTTTCAACATCCAGCTCGTACGTACAATGAACGTTCGCGCGTGTAATCCAAGTTGGAGCGTAAAAACGAGGCAGAGTTAAACGAGCCATTTCGTCAGAAATTACCGAAAGTTTCGCGCCTGTACATATGGACTCGGGTCGAAAAAAGGAAACGGAGAGAGGAAAAAAGGAAAACAAGGGGAAGGCGAGGAAAATAGAGACCCGGAAGAGTCGAAAGGGATGCGGAGGGATGTGTAACGACTCAATCTTGAAAAGTTCCTCTCTCAACGAGATGGTCGCTTTCCGTCGAGAATTCCGCGGCCGATATCGAGACCCAGGCGCCTTCCGCGTCTTCGTCACCTTTCGTCCGACGACTTTTCCTCCGAAGTCGATCCTTTCGCGCAAGGATAGCATTTAAAGTTGGTGGTCCGCGTAGAAATCGAGTTGCCATGACAACGCGGTCTTCATCCTTTTGTGCTCGGTTGAAGTGTCGGATGAAAGGATGCCGTGTATCCAGTAACAAGAAATTGCGATACGAAAGGATTTGCAAAATTGAAGGAGAAAGAGAAAATGATGTAGATAATTTTTTCATAAAATATTTACCGTCTCATATTTATCAAATTATATTATCTTCTCTATACATAACAAAAATTGTAAATAAAATATCGAAAAGTGGCACAATCAGTCATAGAAATTATAATTAACAAAATAAATTATACCACTTGATCTTTTTTTTTTCTTTAATTTCATATCGATTCTTTTCAGAGATAATCCCTGCATCCTTTCTGTTACAGCCAGAACCGAGGCCAAATATGATTGATAAGCAGGTGATCGATGGGCACGTTCTACCCAACGAAGTCCTATTTACTTCACCGACGCTTGCCAACGTGGAGTACAAAACTCTTGTATTTTCCGACAATCTCAAAGTTACCGTCAGCTTCCTGAAGGCGCATAATAAAGGTAATAATGGTCGCTCGAACACTTGGAATAATATTGATTTAATTCAGGGAACAATTTACTTATTTATTTATTTTATTTATTTAAACAATGATGTGATACAATTGAGTGGACGGTATTCAATTATTTGCTAAAACAGATCCATTCTCGTCGCGAGATGATTTCACGTGTAATAAAACAGTCAATTAAAGGGATATGTCTACGATTTAACAACTTTAACGGGTTTACACGTACATCGATGTCTAATTGATAGTCCGATTTTCAGTCTATGTCCAATCGAACACTGTAATGGGCGATTCGAATCACCCATCCGGAGTGGTATTGGCAGAGATAGTGAAGGGGAACATCCCGGTGCGCAACGGTGTCGTTCATCTGATACAACGACCGCTTATGGTGGTCGACACCACCGTGAAGGATTTTCTCGAGGTCAGTGCCTGATCATCCGTCATTAATCGGATCTACGAACGTTGTTCGAAAACCGCATCGATTCCGCCGATACAGTTTTCCGTAACATCGATTCGTTCGACTTTTACAAAAAATTCGAGACTTGCGTTCTTTCAAAAAATATTAATCGTATCGATTTATTTTTGCGGAATCGTTTCGCGATAAGGTAAATTTTGCGGTAACAGCGCACGATAAACGATAATATTATTCCAAACTCAATCATCGCATGTTGAGAATAATGAAAATAATCAGTTGATTAGTTTAATAAAGAGCAAATATAATGATTTATAATGTGTACGATGCGTCACGATGTCGCATCGCTTTAGAGCGGTCTCGTCATCGACGTCATTTTATCCGCATTCATTAAAATGATTACGTTGAAATACGGCTGCATTTCGTTAGGGAAAATTGTTAAATATTACCAGGAGTTATAATTTAATTTAAATTTTCATATATATACATAATTTAAAAGAATCATAAGGTAGTGCGTTCTCCCTCTTTCTCTCTCTTTTTCTAATGTTTAAAATTAAAATGATCGTAAAATAACACATCCTACGTACGTGTAAATTAATTGCTATCTAAAATTAATAATTTTACCGTATACATCAAATATAAATGCGCTCCCATTTTCAAACATGATCTCAACGTGTAGAACGTGTAGAGATATTATTTTAGCGTTTTGCGATGTAAACAGATTTGCATTTAGAAAAATGCAATGCTATCTTCATATTTCGCGATGCAAACACACGTACATTTGCATTCCGAACAGCAGCATATTTATTTTTTAAAAATGCGTAAGCGCATTATTTGACCGAAATTTTTATGCGGTATTATCTTCAATATTTTTCGTATTCTCATAAAAAATGAACATTCAGTTTACAAATCCTAGAAATTCAAATAAACGGATATATATGATGTAATTGAAAAAAGAAAGAAATTATTTGGAAGAAATTATTTACGGATGTATCGAGAGAGAGAGAAAAGGAAAGTGATAGGAACAGAGATCCCTAAAAAGGAATATTATTGAATTGAATGAAATTGAAAAACGCTGTAATACGTTAAACCTGTAAAATCCTTTTGCTAAAATTCATTGAGCTTTCCACGGGTCTTCAATCATTCCGTATAACCTCGGCTAATGCAAACGACACGTACGTGCGGTGAAAAAGCGACGGCAATCGACCTGGAAAGTCGTCTGCTCGTAAAAGCATTGTGACCGGTCCGGTTTATACGAGCCGAACGCGCAAGAAAAAGTCGAAATTTATAACTTCGTTTAAACCTCCTTACCGGGGCTCTCTGCGAAATTGAATGCGGACCTTTGTTTCCACCCATTCCTCTCGGAACTTCATTCACCGCCGACTATAAAGGCGCGACGACAGCTCGCCATTCGTCGGATTTCGTTTTTCCGTGAGCCTCAAGTTTGATATCTATGTACGAGGGCTCTTTCACAGTCGGCGAGTCGAGCGAGCTTCCTCTCTCTTTACGTTGCCCGGCTTGCTTAACTCCTTTGAACAACTCGCGATGTATCAGCGCGCAGAGAAAGCATCGCGATAATAATGAGAGGAACGAAGTATAATGGAACACGTGAAATTCTCCAAACGCGAATATTATGGAGAATTGTTATTTCAGAAATTTATCCAACCCGAAACTTTGACTGTCAGATTGTATGACGTTTAAACTCCAACAGATTTGAGAGAAAACATAGCGTACGCTTGAATGTTGATAGAAGAAAAATTTATTCAATTTTCGATACACACGCAAAAGGATATCGTTCGAATCGCAGTGCGATTTGAGACAAACGAAAAAAAAAGGATTGCTTTTATCGCGTATTTTCAGAGATCTTAAGCTTATAGATACTTTGCGGGTAAGACGGAATCGAAATAACAATTCGCGCACACATCTCTTTCTTTCTCTCTCTCGTTCCATCTCTTAAAAACAAAGAGCCCGATTTATTTTCACCGTTTACACACACGTTTGCGATAAATCGCGGAAACTTTACGCGCGCGGGTGCTTCATCTCGACGACGCGACGCTTGGCATCTATTATGAATTCAGGCCGCGCGATGCATTAGAGGGGCATTAGTATTCGCAGTGTCCCGATACGTATATCTCGACGTGACATGTTTCGCGGAACTCCCGTAACATCGACCTCAAAGGATCCCGGCATTGTGTACGAATTGAGGAGGGGTGCAACACCGTCGCCGTCGCCGTTACCGTCGTCATCGTCGTCGCTGCGATGTAATCGCGACGTAATCGCTGCCGCTCGCATCGTCGAATGCAGAAGCATACATTTTGACCGCTGCGCAAACTATGCGAGACTCGGGCTAAATGAGGCAATTGCAGTCAGCAAGGTAGCTTCCGGTTCGTGGCAGATTCGTGAAGACCAATTTCATCCTTCGCGTATTTAGAGTGCGCGAGACAGAAGCTCAGGAAGATACCAAGTATCCGAATTTTGCGGAGAGGGACGATATAAAATGTCCAAATAATTTATTTTACAATTGTAGCTATAAAATTATACGTCTTACAACACTTATCGGCACCGAAATGGAGTCGTAGAGCGTATTTTATACTTATCTAACTTGTTCGCTTATCGAGCTGGCAAGTGAGAATGCTTATTATTGTTAACGTTATGATAGTCGAGAGGACTCCCGCGGGAACGTTATTGAACGATCACCGCGATACTAACCGTTTAAGAACATGTGGAAAGAACGTTTTGCAACTGGCAACTTGTACCGCTGGCTAGAACGTCGCGTTGAGATAAGCGTTGCATTTCGTCGTGTGTGCGCATTCGCGAAGCTGGGAATCGAGCGGAAATGAGAAAGAGAATACGCTTTACGGCAATCGTAAAGATTCTATCCCGCTACAGCGCCGATCCCGTGTATCGTAATGATTCTAATCTTAGCGAGTTCGCGCAGCCATTTTAGCGCCAGGGTTGCACGCGGAGCACGTGCGCGTACTCGAAATAATTCGTGATAATGTAACACTCCGGGTATATGCACGCTTTCGACAACCCGATCAACTTTACGCAGTAAAACGCCCTTCGCTGAATTTTTGTACGTTGGACTTAAAAGGCGAGTCTCGAGGATTTTCGAGCCCTTCGATATTGAAAAAGCTGAAGATTTCAAAGATTTTTGAAATTCAAAAATTGAGTCCTTTAGACACAAGATTTTAATAATTTGTCTTTTAGTATTTTAATAATTAAACAAATCAAATTTTTGGTTTTTTTGCGCAGTATTTGCACAATGATACAATATTTTATATATATATATATATACGAAATGCAGCCGGATAAAAGGATGACCGATGAGATATATTACTACTTAATTGACGCGTATAATAATGCGTCTTTTGACGAGGCCGATGCATCCGGGATGTAGGCTACTCCTCGACGAAGAGATGATTTTTTCACATTACGACGTATATTCTGCTAATCATTTTTTACATTGAACAGCAACACGAGCCAAAACACCGCCATTGACAGGAAATACACTCGCCTGTATTCCTGCATCACACGTGTAACAAATAATTTATACTTGATATACTTAAGTGCAGTTACTCTTTACTTCAATAACAGCATCAACGCTCGGATAACAGGAACAACGAGCCACTTTAGTTCGAACTACTTTATTTAAGTCAATAACAATTTCATTACTCGAGCAGGTGGCACCCGTCAAGCACAAGTACTACAACTATAACTAGGTCACAAAATCACTCTTTACAAGAATGTCTCTTCTCGTCGAAAAATGAGGATTCATATTTATTTCATTTTATTCTTCACTGTCTCGATGTCGACACATGTCGCATTATGGAGCGATGTTAATTAAAAAGCGATCATTTATCAAGTATTTATGTTATTAGATTCTTAAATCCTTAAATGTAATATTTATTTAGCTCTTTAGACTTCAATTCCAATTTTTAAATCTAATTTAATTAATTAATCTTACTGAAATGTCAACTTGTTTGAGATTTTAATTTTTAATATTGACTTTTATCGTAAATTCTTATAAATAGTCAACTTTTTGAAGGTCTTGAATCATAAAGTTTTAGACATATAAACATTAGTTCAACGATATATAATTCGAAATCCAAGTTTAATAATGCAATCGCGCACAATTTTTGATAATGGCCTAATGCGCGATTATCAAACATTTTTAATTGATATCGCCCCAAATGTGCAAAGACTCTCGATGCAGTTTCCGTCGATTGAAACGCATTGACTTGTCTACCAACCTTTCTTCGAGACGCTTTTCATTCACCATCGGACAGCTGTTCCACTTCTCGGCGGAAATTCGAGAAAAATATCGTTGAAACATTATTTCACTTCATGATATATACCATCACACACGAATGCCTACATGAACGATCGGAACACACAACTCCGTTCTACGATAAGCGCATCCGTTCCGCGGCCTCGCCTCTTGCAATACGTGCCACATTATCTATGTGCGCGTATATAGGGTGATGCGCGCGACTAAACGCGCATTCACGGTATTAAATACCTTTGTGATGTACGGATAATGTGTGTGTGTGTGTATGTGTGTGTGGTGACATTAAAAAATTTAGATTATTTGCCTGCTGTACAGTCTATTTTACAGTGTAGTTACCGTCTGCTTCTGTAACGATATAATTAAAAAATATACGGTTGAATATATAACTTTCGCGTCGCTATGCATAATTGGTTTGATAACTACGTAATTTTTCAATCTTTTATTTTTATTGTTACCGGTAACAAAGTCGGCAACTGCTAAAACTGGTATCGCGCAGATCACCCTATATACGCTCTGTATGTATGTGTCACATATGTATAATATATATATATATATATATACAAACGTTTTACACAGGACAGAGGAATGGAATGTTCACGTGACAGCTGTCGTCACATGCGATATCGACTGTTTTTCAGCAATGATCCTCGGCACGTCTCGCCTACTGTCTGCACCAGACCCTCTCGGCTCGTAATTTGGATCAAAGGCGACGGAACTT